AAAAAAAAAAAAAGACTGAGGCTGCCAAAGGTATGCCAGAGGAAAAATCAGGGTGTGAGATGCAGAGTATCTCCACACGAACACAACACATTAATGAGAAAAGGGAGTAATGTCCACGAGAAGTACCTGTCTCTCCCCAGAGACTGTCAAAACTGTTGATCTGTGCTCGCTCTACTTCTTCTTCATCTTTTTCTGGAAGATCAAGTAGGTAGGAGACAATCTGGAACGAGAAGGTGTGTCAGTTCAAACTTCAGGTGGGAAACTATGCTACCAGCTCTGGCCTGTGAGGTTTGAAAGATGCCTGGATGACCCAAGTGTGACGCAATCGCTTGCACACAGAAGAAACCAGAACTGACTATCCCAGCAAAGAAACCCAAAGTGGCCATGATGAACATGTTTTATCAGGTACAGTTTATACGTTTCTCTTGAACACAACTCACTTACACAGCATGTGATTTTTAAAAAATTATTTATTCCTCATCTTTAAGTTAAAGAAGCAAACCCTCATCCTCCCAGTAAAAATACCAATAAAGAGAAAAAACCCAATCAATCAATAAAAACCAGAAAACAAATATGGAGAAAACGTAGGGGCTCTTATTTCATCAGAGTAGAGCAATGATCTTCTTTTTTCTGCTTGGAAGTATAAGGACTGCTTTGGGGATAATAAAGGGAGAATGACTATTAATATTAAAAAGGAAAGTAACAGCTCTGTTTCCAGGAATTTGCCTGTAGAGAGAGTTTAAAAACCTACAGATATTAAAAATTCCAGTTTTACTTAATATTCCCTTGGTGACATACGAGGTCAGTTGGCAGGGGAGCTGTGTCACCGAAGCTTCCCATGCAGTGGTGAGCCAATGCGTTCTGGCCCCTGAAAGCGGAGCATTACATTTTCAGGAATTTTGTAAGCCGGTTATTAGATGAAGATGTTTATTAAAAATTAAATAACAAATTATATTAAAAACAAAGGTTAAAAAATAAAATCTCATGACTTCTTAATTATTTAACTACACTCTATCTATGCTCTTGAGGTTATTCATATGTATTGTGTTGTATGGTGGAAACAGCCCAACACGGTATGTGCTCCTATGCATCTCTTCATGACATCACAATGGCAGCTCCGTATCAGCTGTGGTGAGAGCATTTACACCTTGGAAATTGGCAAACATTATAAATCAAGATTTGATTCAGTGCTAACGCTCCAAGGGGCTCCAGTTTAATGATTTGTACGAAGGTGAGAAGTAGTTTAACACAGATCACGTATCAGATTTAATGACAAGAAAATTATTGGGAAAAGAACAAAAAAGATCATCTATAAATGATCAAAGAGTTGCAACCACAGGTTGGCTTCAGATATAAATTTCACAAAAGTCAAGAATTCCCTTAAGAGTACTGTATATTTCATTATCTGTAAACTGTATGCTACATGTTCTTCATATCAGTAAAATTTATACTAATTTTTTTAAAAGAATTTTTAACTTATTTATTTGACACAGAGAGAGAGAATACAAGGAGGGGGAATGGCAGGCAGAGGGAGAAGCAGGTTCCCCACTGAGCAAGGAGACCAATGCGGGGCTCGATCCCAGGACCCTGAGCTGAAGGCAGCTGCTTAACTGACTGAGCCACCCAGGCACCCCAAATTTATACTAATTTTAAGTATGTATGTATGTACACACACACACACACACACACACACACACACACACACACACACACACACAC